AGGAGCTGGGCCCGAGGGTTCCGATCGGACACTGCACGAGAGGGTCCTGCCCCAAGGGCCACGTGGACACACACGGCCTCGCCCACTCATCACCGGCCAGCCTCACATTTCCACACTCCCGCCCCAGAAAGGGTGGTGTTCTTAGGGCCTCCCACCTGCCACAGCCTCTGTATTTGGAAACGGCTGATGCTTCTGCATGTGGCCAGAGAAGCCATTAGCTCTGGGTACCCGCCGTCTGGGGGCCGCATGTGCCCTCATGAGGAGCACAGAGCTGCCGAGGGTGCCTCGCCTGAACCCAGGATTTGAATATGTTCCCTGGTGGGCAGGTGTCCCGGGCCTGGGCTCACGAAGAACAGGTCCACAAGTGGGGACACGAGAGTGGGGCCCCTCCTTGAGGTACACATGACCTGGCCACCGGGGCGTGGAGCTGGCTGGGGGACTGGCCTGCCCTTGCAGGAAGGCTGCAAAGCAAGGGTGTGTCCACCTCAGTCTTTAGCTGTGTGTGGCGGGACAGGGGGGTGGGGGCACCTTCATGCTTATAGCGAGCACGTTGTCAGAGACCTCGAGGCAGCTCGCCCACGAGAGCAGAGGCAGGGGGTTTGGAAGACGCAGGGAAAGGCAGCATTACAACCACAGAGCACAGGACAGGAGCCCTGAGCGAGGCCCTCCCAGGACACGACGGTGGACGAACGACGGGCAGGCTCTGCCCCCACGGCCGCAAGGGGCACAGGTGCTCTGGGGCCTGGAGGGGGTTTCTGGCAGGAAACCCAGCCACCCAGCCGTGCCCAGTTCCCGTGAGACAGTTGCCTCATTCCACAACAAATACACAACCAGCTAACGCGGACTCAGGGGGGCTCTACACAGATGCTCGGCCCCTGTCTGGCCCCGCGGTGCACACACCCATCTGTCCTGACTGTGGGTAGAGGCTGCCTGCTCCCCTGAGCTGAAGCAAAGCCCGACTTTGCGACCCTGAGGCCAGGGCCGGTGATGTGACCTGAGGCATCGGCACAGCCTGAAGGGGGAAACGTCCCCCCCGCCCCACGACTCAGAAAAGCACAGGCACGGAAGGGATCCACGACTGCCCAGCCACGTCCTCGTTCTCAGCGGGACGACCTGGAAGCTCCCAGGGATGGAGAATGTTCCAGAAGCACATGATCAGTGGGGCGAGAATAACCTCTGGGCTCTTCGGGAGCCACGTCCCACCACCCATTTCCGGGGGACATCAGAGGGCTGTGGACCCTCATCGGTACTGGCCTGATCCTCTCTGAGACCCGAGGCCCCTGCGAGGTCCTGGGTCAGGGCACAGGAGTGGGGACACCCCAGGCCACGCTGGTCACCCCTCACTGCCTGGTGACACAGGCACTTCCCACACTGAGAAGCATCCGTGTACATGCACGAAGCCGAAGCGTGTGCGACTGAAAACTCTGCAGATACTGGGACCCAGAGGGTAGGGTGTGCTCCAGGCCGAGGGAGGTCCAGGGCACAGAGGGTCCTGTGGCATGTGGTGGTGTGGCTGGTGAACCCACCTGTAGGCCTGCAGCAAGAAAATCTTGTAAATGTTTGTATAAACCGTGTGGATGCTGTTTACCTGGGTCACAAAGAAAGAAAAACATTGCAAATGCCTCTGGAACGTCAATTTATGTCACCAGGTCAAATGGAGGCAGAAGGAAGTGGCCTGGGCGGCCCCGCCCTGCCATGGTGGCAGGGGCTGCTGGAGGGAAGGACAGTCAGGGAGGGACGGGACGTGAGCGCCCAGTGGCTCTAGAGCCTGAGCCCCAAGGCCTCGGACCCCCACCCCTCCGTGGGGAGGGACCCAGGTGCCCAGGACGAGGGGCCCAGGCGGGACTCAGGGCATTCATACCCGTGTGTTCACACTCGCACACACACAAACACTCATGTATTTAACACGCGTAGCTCTCAGCGGGCCGGGCTGAGCTCGGGCACCTGCTGGCACCCCCTGGCCGCGGGCTCACCTGCAGATCCAGAAACACAGCGCAGCACTTCAGCCGCATGACCGCAAGCAGCTTGCGACGCATGTTCCTCCCGGGCCTGGTGCCCTGGCTGAAGGTCAGGCTCGAGCGAATGGAGGTCTGGGCGTAACTGCGGCACAGAGGGGAGCCCCTGAGACTCGAGAGCGGGGGCCCCCGAGACTCCAGCCCTCCGCACACGCCAGGCGTGCAGTCGGCCCGCCCGCACCCGGCCCCGCCCGCGTGTGAAGCCAGGGCCGGTGGCAGCGGCAAGACGGCACGAGGACTCAGACAGGGTGGGGCACCCACGCACCACAGGCATCTGGGTCACGGTGCGGGTCATTTACGTGTTTGTTATTGACAAATGGCACACAGCACCAGCAAGATCTGTGCGATTCAACCAACGCATTGACCGCACGCAAGCACGCGCCTTCCTGGGAGAGGGTCCAGGCTGGCTGGGGTCTCGTCAGGCTCGGCCGGGCAGCTGGGGCCTTCAGGCCACAGCCTGGTGCCTTCCGACAGCCCCGAGGGCTTCTCGGAGGAGGAGGTTGCCCCACAGACAGCCTGACCCCTCTGACGTGGTCTCAAGGTGGGAAATGTGGAGGACACGGGCAATGGGAGGAAAGTCACCCACTCGGCAGCAGTGACACCTGTGGGCGTTCCAGCCACACCGCCTCCCTGCACCTGAGCCCCCAAAATGAGCCCTTGACCCGCGTGACATGTGTCCTGGGACGTGTTCCTTTGTACCAGCTTAGGACACACTTATCTCGAGTCCGAGTTCTCATCTTATTAAATGTTATTTGACAGCAATTTTTTAAAAACGTCTATATATTTTCAGAAAGAGAGAGGGGGACAGAACCCCAAGCTGGCTCCGTGCCGTCACCGCAGAGCCTGACTCAGGGCTCGGACCCAGGACCCTGGAATCGTGACCTGAGTTGAAATCAAGAACCAGATGCTTAGTTGACTGAGCCACCCAGGCACCTCTTGACAGCAATTTTAATGGCAGAATAAGGTTTCTTCTTGGTGAGGCATCAACACCTACGCGGCCGCGATTTAGGTCGTTTCGTTGTTAGCTGTGCTAAGTCACGCGGCCCAAACGGTCAGGTGAAACCTCTGATAACATCCAGGAATTTTTTTCTTGAGGACGGGTTTCTGGATGTGCAGTTACCGGGAAAACGTATGACCGTTTCAAGGACCATGATGTGAATTTATTGCTTTCCAGAAAAGTCGGTCCAGTTTGCCCCACCCTCAGGAATGTGCCCACGAGGCTAGCCACAGCACTGCCGAGGGGCCCGAGGGACGGACGGGGCCTGAGCGCCCTAGGTGGGTGGGCAGAGCCTTCCGCCAGGGCCTCCACGGGCTGGTCCCGGCCGACCGCACTCAGGACCGCCGCCCTCTGCTCCGTGCCGGGTGGCTACCGTGGCCTCTTGCTGCCGTCTGCTACAAGCCCCCGCGTCCACCCGTGAAGAGCTCGGTGCACGGAAGCGAGAGTGCTGGAGCCGGGCCCGCGTTCGACTCCCGCTCCCTGCGGCTGGGTGACCCGGGGCAGGTCCCTAACCCGCCCCCGAAGGACATGCCCAAGACGCAGCTGTGGGCCCCAGACATCGGGTTCAGCGAGGACACGTGGCTGCGAGGTGGCCTTCCCTTCCCTGCTCACAGGTGCTCAGAGCTGCTCCCCGCCTCCCCCTGGCCTGAGGCCCACCCAGGCTGCACGCCCCACCCCCGCCCCCGGCACCAGGTAGGGTGGCCTCCACCCACCTGCTGCGCTGGGTCTGCTGTTTTGTCTCCTGGGCTCCAGGTGGCAGGGCTGGGGCCGACTCGCCCAGACATAAAGTCACCCTGGCTCCACCCGCCGCACCAAGGCGAACTCGCCTGTCACCGGGTGTGACTGCCCAGAACCCCCCCCACTCCCCCACCTCGCCTGATCTGGGGTTCGGGGAAGACTGGGAGGTCTGCGTTGTCACTGTCCTTCCCGAAACGGCGCTCACCCTCCTCCTCAGCCCGTCGAGCCCTTGCTTCGAGTGCCGTCGCGGGTTCCCAGGCGCCTCTGCCTCCGCGGCTGGGTCTTTGGGGCTGCTTTTGTGAACGGGCACCTGCTGACAGGGCCTGCGGGAGCAGAGCTGCCCGGCGACACCCACCTGTTCTGGGGCATCGTCCTTACCCAGGGACAGTCCCCGGATGGGATGCTGTCCCCAAAATGGCCATAGCTTCTTGGGGAGCAGGACACTGGCGTGCAGTTTATGACCAAGTGGTGTGGTTGGGGCACAGAGAGCCGGGCAGTGTGATGGGGCCCAGACGGCAAGGGAGGGCCAGAAGCCGGCAACAACCAAAGACAGGGGCGCGGGGGGAGGGGGAGAGGCCAGGGCCCCCCCGGACGGAGCACGGATGAGGGCCGGAGCGAGGGGCGGGGGCAGCAGGGCTGAGGCAGCGGGGAGCGTCTGCACCCGCTTCTCCCCGGAGAGCACCCCTAAAACGGGACCGAGTGTGACCAGGAGTGTTCAAGCCGGGACAGCTGGTCACCAACACAGCAAAGCGGAAGGCCCGCCATCCCCCGCTGCCTTGGAATCTGCAATCTGTACTTTTTATCCATAAAAAGGCAGATTCGTGCATCCACATCCACCTGAGTCTGTGTCCACACCAAGCCCGAGCTCAGCCTGGGAGCTCGCGGGCTCAGGGAAGCTGGCTGTCAGGGGTTCAACTGTGTCCCCAAAATCCATGTGTGGCAGCCCTAACCCACGCGACCCCACGGTCTTTAAGAAGTGATTAAGGCTAGGGCCATAGGCCCAGATCCAACAGGGCCGATGTCCTTAGAGGAAGAAAAAGACACCAGTGACCCTTGAACATGGGGGGCAGGAGGTCCGAGGGGAGAGAGACCTCAGGAGAGACCAGCCCACCCGCACCTGGATCCCAGGCTCACGGTCTCCAGGATGTGAGTGCATGAACACCTGGTTTAGCGGCCCTGCCCGTGGCATTTTTCCCGGCAGCCTGAGGTGCCACGGTATTGTGTCCAGAGCAGCCCCCACGCTCCACGGCCCCGCTCCCGAGGGGTAAAGGCGACCCAGCGAGGCCATGGTGGCCATTACGGCATGTGCCCTGGTCCTAAAGAGACCTGTGCCCAGCAGGTCCCCGCAGAACACACTGGTGACCCCCAAGTCTGCTGCACAAATTCCTGTTGCCAGGAACAAGCCCAGGAAACCGCTCACCTGGCGAGTGCCCACCGCGCCCTCTGAAGCTGGGCACCCCTGGCCTGAGCTCTCGGGGTCACGCGGAGGCAGGAACGGGGAATGCCGACCCGCGTCACACGCACCTGGAGTAGTCGCAGAACACCTCCAGGGTCCGCGTGTCCAGCAGCAAACCGCACCAGGGGAACAGGCAGTGGGCGGGCAGCTGGAGGGGGGCCGCACTGCCCGGGGCGCCGGTGTCCACGGGGAAGTTCACTGCCGTCTTCTGCAAGTTGGCTGTGCAGCCATACTCAGGAACACCGCTGACCAGGGTCCTGGGGCAGAGAGGCCGCATCAGCCACCGGAGGGGGTCTGCAGGCCCCAGCGAGGTGCCCGAGGAAGCCAGGCAGGGCCCTGTTCTGACTCCAGGGGCCCGTGCCCACAGGCTTCTGGGTGAGCGAGGCCAGCGCCCAGAGCAGGGTGGCTGGGCCAGGGAAGGGCTGAGGCTGAAACCTGGGGGATGAGCAGACACCAGACGACCCTGGTCCCAGGTCCCAGGCCCCAGGTCCCAGGTGGGCTGTCAGCTCGGGACCAGCTGACCATGGGGGAGGCGGGGCCCGGGGGGCAGGCCGAGCTCAGGGGCTGAAACCCTCTTGGGGACAGCCAGCCGCGTCCACATGTACAGCTACAGGTCACGGTGTCACAGTGGCGGCTGACAAGGTCCACAACTGTAATATGCCAGTTTTAAAGGAAGTGACTGTCTGCCATGGGGCGGGCTCTGCATCAGGAAGGGCCTGACACACAGGATGGGTGAACCAAGGAGGGAGCGTCTTCCTGAGACCACAGCCCCAGCGCCTGCCCCGTGGACCTCCGGCCTCCAGGCCCACCCACGCCGGTGCCAGGGCTGAATGAATCCTCAAAAATCTCCCCCTGGACACAGGATGTCTACCCCAAGTGGTCTGCATCCTGGGTGGAACCCCGACACACACTGAGCCACCTGCCTGTAGCGTCACCCCTAGAACTTTCTGTGATGGCAGCAGGACCCCGTGCGGAACCCCCAGGCAGCCACTGGCCACGTGTGGCTAAGGAGCTCTTAGAACATGGCTGTGCCTGAGGATCCGAATTTGTCATTGGGCTGAACTCTGAGGAGTGCACATTTGTGGGAATCCTGCCCCGGGCTGCCGGGAACCCCTGTGGGTAGGCTCGGGGTGCAGGGACGCTGCCCAGATGGCTCTGTCCAACGATAGCACAGTGACCGGAGCAAACACCCCTGGGTTTAATGATCTTCTCCTTCTCTGGAAAAGCACACTTGAAAATCAGCCCCGGGGGGCGCCTGGGTGGCGCAGTCGGTTAAAGCGTCGACTTCACAGGTTTACGACGATCTGCATGATCCGTGAGTTCGAGTCTCGCGTCGGAGTTCTGGGCTGATGGCTCAGAGCCTGGAGCCTGTTTCTGATTCTGTGTCTCCCTCTCTCTCTGCCCCTCCCCCCGTTCATGCTCTGTCTCTCTCTGTCCCAAAAATAAATAAACGTTGAAAAAAAAATTAAAAAAAAAAAAAAAAAAGAAAATCAGCCCCGGATTCCTGGGGCCCCGGAGGGGCAGTGCTGGGGATGCCCTTCCCAAGGCAAGGACCCCAAACTTGAGACTTCACTCTGGAGAAATGAGCCGGCCCCCCACATGTTCACTCTGCAGAAATGAGCCAGCCCCCTACGTGGTCCCAGGCCCCGGAGCACCGTTGAGCCCGCTGTCCCTCCCACGTGGCCTGCAGAGAGAAAGATGCCCCAGGAGCCGTATGGGCAGGTGCAGCCCTCACCTCTGTTCCCTCCGTGTGTGGCACAGCCCCATCGGGGGTGTCCCTGCCCCCTCTGCTGTCTGCCCAGAACAGCGCACACCCTGACTTGCAGGGGGCCTCCGGGGACACAGTCCCCGCCCACCCGGCCACCCAAGCCCGCTTCCCCCCACCCACAGCAGCATGCACGCCTGCCGCCACGCCCGCGGCTCCAGCCCCCTCGGGGCTCAGCGAGCGTGGCTGCCGCCTGGCTCTCAGGACAGCCGGGACAGCGCAGTGCGCCGTTCGCCCGAGGCTGGGGCACTTGGGAGGCACGGCCGCCAGGCGAGAATTACTACTACTCCGCCCGTCGAGTCGGCGAGGGCTCATGAGCCACAGCCGTGCCGTGGGACACGGGCAGCGCCCCTACCTGAGAAAGGCTTGGGCTTGCGCCAGGTGAGGCGTGACCAGCAGGAAGTCGTCCACCAGACGCAGGAGCACCCTACGAGAGGACCGCCCAGCACTGCAGCGGGGGACCCCGTGTCGGGGTTCACCAGGACGGGAACGAAGTAACTCTCTCCAGAGAACCTGACCCAAGGCTCGCACCTCGGGCGGGGCGGGGCGAGGGGGGGGAGGCCGGGCGGCGGCCGGGCTCTGGGGCCAGGGTGCGGCTCCGGTGGGAGCCCGAGCCTTGGCCGCATTCGCAGCAGCTTACGAGCCTGTGTTCACGACCTGCTAGCAAGCACCACCACGTGACCCGACACAAAGACGAGAGGGTGGCCCGTCCGCGTCAAGAGGACCCGAGACACGAGGCGGCTGGAGGCAGGACCACACACACACACACAAAGGGGACCTGTACCCGTCCTGCTGGATCCCGGAAAACAGCCTGCTCTCCATGTCCCCGTAGCACAGGCTGCAGAGCAGAGTGGACAGGATGGAGCCCTGGGGGATCCCCTGACACTGCACGTAGGACCTGGGGGATGGGACGTGGGTAGCGGCGGGTGGCAGCAGGCCACGGTGGGCCTCCTGTACATCCCGCGGACACGCAGGCACGCAGACCTGGGGGCGTGTGAACCGGTCTGTTCACACATGCGATGGCCACAAGGGGCTCGACCCTTTTCGTAAAGATCAGAGCAGACAGCAAGCGGGTGTCACGGGCGTGGCCCTGTCCACGGAGAAAGTCCCCTTCTGACCTCAGTGCCACTCACATGCACGTGCAGGTGCACTTCCTTCGTCAAGGCTCACCTTGCTGTGCACTTGTGAGGGTGCTTTTCAGGAAGATGCTGGCTTATCCTCCTCACGTAGTTACGTTTTAATAAGAACTACGGTCATTCATAACATAACAGCCCCTCCCAGAAAGCTTCCCACCCTTAGTGCACAGGGCGTGGTCCCACGGAAGGTGCCCACCCTCCAGGCCGACCTCCAACGACCTTGGCTGTAAGCCTGAACCCCCAGGACCTGCTCTCAGCAGACACACCCTGGGGTCCTCGTACAATTGCTTACCCAGGGAAGCTAAGTCTTGTTTGCACAGACAGAAAAATTATCTACCAGCATTTAAACGCCAAAGGGCTTCTGGAACCCCAGGAGCCTCGCTTCTGCTATGCCGGCCGAGTGGCCACAGCGCCTGTCCGGACCGTGACCCCACCCAGCACAGAGGGTTTCACAGGACGGGAAGGTGCCAAGGACCCGACTTACTTGCCCCCGATCCTGATGACGTGGTTGTGCACCAGGCGCAGGAAGAGGTGGAAAAGGCTGTGGCCAGTCTCGTTCAGAGAGGAGCTCTGGGGGAACAAAGGGAGACACGGGCGGGCCAGGGCGCGTGACGCACACAGGCAGGTGCACCGTGCCGGACGCTGCTCCGGGTGGCCCGTGGCCCCGGCCGGGCTCCAGCCACGCAGGCCCAGACGGCACGCGTCAGGGTGTGACCTGCATCACCCGGTGGGGCCCCGGCTGCGGAGAAGGGGTCGGGACGTCAGAGCCTCAGTGGGGGGGCCAGCTTGTCCCTGGTAACTGGTTCTGCACCAACCAGTTATGGTTCTGCGTGGGCTGGTCCGTCACCGAGGGCCCCGCACTCAGGAACAGCCCCTGCTTACATGCAGGAAAAACGGGTTCCCACTAGGTGGTCGATCCCAGGTGGGGCTACAGAGCAAGTCCGACTTGTCCCAAGGAAGGGGGCACCTGTTCCTTCAGCCTTGGTCAAAGCTGAGGGGAGGGACGTCTAGCAAACTGGGCTGCAGCAGAGAACCTGGCCAGGTGGGAAAGGGAGACAGGCAGCCACAGGCAGCTACAAGCCTCCGCCAGTGTGGTTCACTAAGAGGCTGCCCTGGGGGCTCCTCCGGCCTGACGGCGGCCTCAGCCACGTCCACGCCCCACGCTGGCAGCGAGCTGCGTGCCTGACCCCCACCTGCTCGATGACCACGGCATCCCTCAGGGAGCTTGTCTCCTGTAGATGCTCCACGAACTGTCTCATGTAAGGCTGGAGGTCCACGAAGGTGGACACCTGCTGGCAAAGAGGAGGGGGCGTGAGACGGGTGCACACCCCCCGGGGCCGGGAGACCTAGTCGCAATGAGGGGCAGGCAGGCCGTCTGACAGTGGAGGTTGGGAACGGCCCCGGGAGCAGGTCACGGCCACAGACCACAGAACAGCCCCTTGGTCACCCCCTGACAACTGAGGCCATGCCGAAGGAAGCCGCTGGGGGTCCAGTCTTTGGGGGCAGCCCGCCTTCCCGAGACGCCTCTGTCGTGGCAGGTGGAGCCCGAGCGGATGGCGGTTGGGGTCCGGGGCCACCTAAGCAGCCAGGATGGACGGGGGCAGGTCCGGGGAGGAGGGACTTCAGGGAAACGAGCCGATGCCGTGATTCCCTCCGGAGTCCTACCAACCCTCAGTGCTAGGTGCCCGAGGGGCTTGCTCCGGCTGCACAGGGGCAATGACCACAGCCCGTAGCTGCCACCTGGGGCCTGGAGGGAGGAAGCCAGGTGAGCACAGGGGGCAGCGGTGGGAGGAGGGGGCTCCCCGGTGAGCACAGGGGCCTGGGAAGAAACACCCGCACCACAGACACCCTCGGTGTGGAACACAGGCCCCTCTGGGTCTTACGTGTCTTTTGAAGGACTTGCGGACGTGCCCCTGGGCAGTTCTCTGGACCACTGCATACTGGCGCACGCAGTACGTGTTTTCTTGAGGCCTGATCACGTTGGCAATCACCTCCACCAGCTTGTCCTGAGGGAGGGCATCGTAGGCCCCCGTCACGTCCACCTGTGTGGGAATGGAGGTGTCTGTTTACAGCTGCTCATGTGCTCACCCGGCCCCCGGGGTTCCCAGGTCCTGCCATCAGCAGACCCAGGTAAGAGACCCTGATGCCCACTGACAGCCCCCATTGCCCCCGCACACACCTGTCCCGTGGCCCCCAGACTCGGCACCCCAGCGGAGGCCTGCGTCCTTCCAGGTTCCCCGAGACGTGATGTGGCTCCACCGAGGGGCGCCTCACTGGGGCGAACGCAGGGGCCTGAAGGCCAGCCGCTCCCACCCCCTGGCCAGAGCCCACGGTGCAGGGCCAGCTGGTGGGGGGGCCGCTCCCATGGGCCTCGTGTCCCCGGCTGGCTCTCCCTCTGGTACGGTGGGACCGGAGCCAGGTGCCCACCTTGACAAAGTACAGCTGGGGCGCTGGGTCCTGAGCCCGCACGCGCAGCACAAAGCTACGCCAGACCCTGTGGATGTCGTCCATGCCCAGCACAGAGGCCCCTAGGAGGCTGGGCCGCCGGGCCCGCTCGTAGTTCAGCACACTGAACAGGTTCTTCACTTGCGAGGTGAGGTGCCGGACCTGTGGGGCCAGCCAGGCACACGGGCAGCATCATCAGAGAACTCCAGGCAAAAGGGGGCCCGGGTCGGACCTCCCCGCCCCCACCTACCGGGCCCCCAGAGAGGAGGCGGCTCCCTGCCTCTGCACGTCCCCTCACCCACCCAGCGCCCAGAAGGGCCAGATGGCCGATCCCACCATGCCCCACCCCCAGCCCCTGGGGCCTCCCTGGGACCTGTCCCACGATCCTGGAAACTACGTATACAAACTGCAGCTGGTGACAGGGCTCACCCTTCACCTGCTGAGCCCCCGGCCACAGATGGGGGGTGGGGGGACACCTTGGGCATCTCCTAAGACAGGCCTGCCACTGAGCTCCTTCTCCACACCTGGATGGATGGCCCACCCGTGGTGCTCTGCCCTCCTGTGGATCTGGCAATGCCACAGGCCCCTCTCTGGGCCTCCTGTCGGCCTCAAAACCAAGCTGGGGTTTAAATGCACTTTGCTTAGAAATGAAACAATAGCGATGACCTTCTTGTCTCTGCGGAACGTTCTGGCTCCCACAACGTAGTCCATGTTCACGATTGGCCGAAGCCCACCGGGCTTGGGGAGGAAGCGGAGTTTGGATGTCAGCAGAGTGGGTCTGGCTTCCTGGTGTCTCCTGACCTCTGCTTCTGACAGTTCTCGAAGATGCACACTATTGAAGTGTTGTCTGAAACAGAGAACCTCGTGGGATACAGCTCAACAGCCCTGCCAGAGCCCAGGGTGGGCAAGCCTGGAAGAGAGCACCAGTGCTGGCATGTTGGCACAGTCAGGTGCCCAGCAACCCAGGACGCTGTGGCTGTGGCCGTGGCCGGCTGCCTGCTGGAGCGCCCTCCCACCGAGGGTGCCAGGACACCTGCTTCCTTCCAGCACAGAGCCGCCAGTGGCACAGGCTGGGACCAGGTGGGACCTTTGGGCAAGGGTAGGGGGAGGCAGTGACTGGTGTGGCCCCCACAGGGGAAGAGAATCATCTCTCTGTGGACCTGTTGGCTCGTCACCTGTGACCTTCACCCTTTCCCTCAAAACCACCCACAGGCAGGGGCAGGTGCTCCCTGGGCTGGTGGCCCACCCAGCCCACCGTGGTAGTCACATGCCCCCCCGGGGCAGGGGGATGGTTTCCACAGTCCCCGCAAGAAGCCTCAATGGCTGCTTTGGGTCTGGTACCAGGAAATATTTAAGTTATTAAATAGGCCGTGCTGTCTATTAACTCAAACCTACGATAAAGGCCTCCAGACCCTCTTCCAGATGCAGGAGGACACGGGCCCCAGCGCCACGTGGCTCAGGGGACTCCGGCCCAGCCTCCTCCGCAGAAGACATCTTGACTCAGGTCGTGGGCTTGACCCACATGCCAGACACGGCTCAGCACCCCTGGTCCCGCCATTAGGGTCCTTGCCAAGGCCCGAGAGGACGCTGGGCACATCGGCCGGGCTGCAGAGATGCAGGGCTCGGGTTTCCAACAGTCACGCCATCCCCTGACCGGACCCCGTCCAGCCTACGTTCACCACAATCCTTCAGTCCTTTACATAAAACAGCCTCTGGGCAGCGGAGACAGATGTAGCAGCCACTTGGAGGCCACTCAAGCGGGAGCTTACTGCGTCGGGGCAGTTTCACAAAGATGCCTCTGTCCCCAGACACTTCCCCCAGGTATGTCGTCAAATAGGCCAGGTTTTACCAACTTGTGACACAGTCCCATTTATTCTGTGTGAACTAAAACAGAATCTGAGCCGTAGGCCAGGGGTGAGCCAACAACCTGCCTGTACGGTTGTTTCCGCTCGGCACAAACTTGTGCTTTTGAGACCCTAGAGCCCAGCTGGCCCAAACTCTGACTCCACAGGTAAGCGGCGGCGGGAGGGGGCTGGTGCCAGGAGTCTGTGCCCAGCGTGGCTCCCCCGGCAAGGGGCCCGCAGGGAGCCCAGAGCCCGCTGGGTGGGCAGGACTCGGGACTCTCATCTGCACGGACCAGACGAGACACGACCGAGTGACGCTGACTAAGACACCTGATTCCTATGCTCTGCAACTGGCTCCAGATACTCTTCCGGTAGAAGAAGAGCCGGTTCTTCTGAAACGTGGTTTCCGTGACGTAAAAAAAGGACTTGAGCAGCTCAACCACGTACGTGCCCATCAACCAGCACAGGAGCTTGGCCAGGACCTCCTCTCTGCGGCGGTGTTCGGCGGCTGGGACACAGCGGGCCCCTGAAACGGGAAAAGGCACAGAACCCGGCCTCGGCCTCGCGCTCGGTGAGCTCCCCTCGCTGGCACTGCCCGTGGCGGCCACCACTGGCTGCTTGAAAGGGGGCGGGGGGCCTGGGACGCAGCCAGAGGAGGGGCGCGCGTCAGTGATGATGCTCCTCGCGATCATGCGCTGAGGGGAGAATGTTCTGGGCACGCTGGGCTTTAAGAAAAGACGTCAGTAGGGGCGCCTGGGTGACTCAGTCGGTGAAGCATCTGACTTCCGCTCAGGTCACGATCTCGCGGTCCGTGAGTTCGAGCCCCGCATCGGGCTCTGTGCTGACGGCTCAGAGCCTGGAGCCTGTTTCAGATTCTGTGTCTCCCTCTCTCTCTGACCCACCCCGTTCATGCTCTATCTCTCTCTGTCTCAAAAATAAATAAACGTTTAAAAAAAAATTTTTTTTTTAATTAAAAAAAAAAAAAAAGAAAAGACATCAGCAGATTAGCTCCACCTCTCGTTTACTTTGTAACGTGGCTACCAGAAAGCCGAACTACCCGTGCCTCCGTTACGTTTCTACCGGCCAGAGATGACGAGGCTCCATCATCAGTCCCGGCTTACAAGCAGGGTGACGGAGAAGCAGAGACGTGCTCTCCACACGGTGATGCACGGACGCTAAGCGGCATCACCAGCCGCAGCAGGACCCAGAAATGCCTGCGGTTTCCCAGGCTGAACCTGCGAAGGTTCAGACAAGCAGAGGTGGCCACACAGGAGCTAAGGGCGGCCAGACGCCGTGGGGCCGCGAACACTCACACGGGGCTGGGGACGCACACCGGGGCCCCCTTGCCTCCTCGGGACGCACGCCAGGGGCCCAGGGACATGAACCAGGGCCCCCCACCCTGTGGGACGCACAGCAGGGGACGTGCACCCAGAAACATCACGAGTAGGTCTCACAGGGTGAGAGGCGGTGGCATGTATACGGCTGGGGGCTTCACCACCAATAACTGACACAGAAGAAACCGTAAAGGAGAAGAAAGGGGGTCCAGAAGCTGGTCTGGGACAGAGGACACAACGGTGAAAGAGGGCAGGGCGGGGGACAAAGCTCGCCCACACTGACCACAGAGCACACAACGACCCCCAGCTTGGGACAGAACTAAGGCAGTGGGGAAACCGAGGTGGGGGTTAGGCCCTTGTGCTGCTCAGGGGGAGGGAAACCGAGAAGACGCAGAGCACGGGGGCAGACCGGGAAGGAGGACCCGCGTGGGAAAGGCGGCCGGATCGGGAAGAAAGGGGGGGCATCCAGGCTCAACTGTGGTCACGGGAAAGACACGAGAGCCTGCAGGCCAGTGGCAGAGATCACCAGGCTGGACGGCAGGGAGGATGAACACTCCAGCTGGTGCTGCTGGTCTGAGCCAAACCACGAGGCCGTGGGAGGGCCAGGCACGAGCTGCAACGGATCAGAAGTGTGCACGAGGCAAGCACCCTTCCAGAGAGAGCCAGCGGGCGCCCTGCAGGCACGAACACACACTTCAAGGGAACAGGCACTCGGAGGCGATCGTCAGGGACATCAGGATTCTGAAATGTGCTCCCACCTGATAAAACCTACAAGCCCACCCCCGAGGACGCCCACACCCCCATCAGCGCCTCCCCTCGGGGAGGGAGACGCCTGGGGCACAAGCACCACAACCTGCCGCGGGCGACCAGCTGCCCACGGAACACACGTCTGCACACGGAACACGTGTCTGCACAGCTTCAGAGAAATGGGTCTAACACACACACTGCTGCACAGCTCCTGTTGTCAATAAAACCAGTAACAAGCAGCTGAATAACTGGCCGATGGAGACTGAAATGGGAACACGATGCATCACGTGGAAACCTGGGGCACAGCTAAGGCACAGCCAGGAGGGAATCACAGCCGCTCACCCCTGAGAAGTTAGGAAGGGAGTCCGGGTGGCCCTGGGGGAAGGTGGGATGCGGCCCCCAGAGACCCAGCTGAGCCGGTGAGGCCCTGAGACAGCATTTTCTACTCCAAGGGTCAAAGGGGCCCCGGCGGGGGGTGGGGGGCACACTCCCACCCACAGTTAGGAAAAGCCATCGCGTGGTCACAGAGAAGTCAACGGGACGGGATGACGGGAGCAAAGCACAGCCTACAAGAGCCACGTGAGCCCAGGGTAAGGAGACAAGGGCAGCCGCCAGCCCATGGTAGGTTCCGGGGAACAGGCAGTGAGTGGGAGGTGCTGAGGCACCTCCAGAGTTTCCACCAGGAATTCACTGTGTGACGTCTAGCAACACCCGGAGGCGGACGTGGACAGCCCGGCCGTCTGGCCACCAGGGATGGGGACCAGGTTTCTGACGGGAGTCAGTAGGCAGGACAATGGTCAGGGCTGGCTTGACAGAGGCCAGGGAGCCCGGGAGCTGCGAACTGAGCACCTGCACAGAGGAAGGGGTGCTCCAGCAGTGGGGGGGGGGTGCAGGGGGTGAGAAGACACGACCGCCAGAGCAGAGCTTAGAGACCAAGGCTGTTCCTGCATCGTTTATCCGGCCCGGTGGGCAACTGGTGCGACCACAGCCTTGGGAAGGAGCAGATGGCCAGAGCCACAGCTCGAGTGTGCAGGGACACAGGGAGGTGCAGGGGCTCGGCCCCCCCCTCCCCAGGGGAGCACCAGCCCCCTTCCGTGTGCGGTGCACAGAGGCAAGGCAGACCTCGTGTGAAGCTGGGACGGAGCCACAGAACTCAACCCTTTGCACAAAGTGAGCCACGGCCCGAGAGCGCAAGCCCTGTGGAGGCTTGTCCGAGGGTGCCGGACCCTTCGAGGCCCATCCACGTGGCACGGGGCAGGGAGCCGCTGGTTATGGATACATCAGCACGTCAGGCGAGAACGTTCTAGAGGTCTGCCGTGTGACAGCACGCTTACGCTCGGCAGTGTCTCCTGCACAGTTATTTGTCGGGAGAACAGGCCGCTGCTGTGTGTTGTTCTCCCAGTTTCAAAAAAAACAACTTACAAACCCAACTTATCAGAAGGTCGCCCTGGCTGCCTGCCAGCAGCTGGCCCCAGAGCCTCCAGGGAACTGCCCCCCGCAGAGGCCACTGGAAGGGAGGTCTTTGGAGATGGCCAGCCCTCCCCACCACCGGAGCCTGCGACATACAGCCCAGCTGCCAACCTCCGCAGTCTTCTTCGATCTAGACGTCTGGGAGCCCGGGAGAGGCCAAGTGGCAGACACCCGGTCTGTCCTGGCTGGTCCCTGGCACTCCGGGCACCGGTGTGCCGAGGAGGAGGGTGCTGGCCGGCGGGGGGGCTGGATGGTGGCTGGACGGGAGAAAACTCAACATCAAGCCCAGACAACGAAAGCGGGAGGGAGGCCGCGGGCCCAGCTTCAGAGTCAAGGCCCCGCAGGCAGCCCACTTCCCTGAGGCAGGAGAGCACCCCGCTGCTCCCCGGGGACCCCCTTGTTCCAAAAGATGGGGCTGGGGCCCCATCCTCCTCCGCCAGCCCTGCCTTGGCGTTCGGACCCGCATGCTGGCTGAGCGGATGTGTGTGGAAACCCTGGAGCCTCATCTCCCGCCCCCAGAGGAGCGGACTCTCATCCCAGCGGCCACTCCTATCCGTGCGGCGCCGTTTCAAGGTGCTAAACCTTGAAGTCAAAAAGGACGACGAACAACGTGCAGGTACGCTCGTGAGAGCTTCTGGACACTTCCGTCTGTTGCCATAGCCCTGCCCGTGTGTGTGTCACATCTGATCACCGCTTGTCCCTGGCACCCAGGGCCTGCCTGAATCCGTCAGAACCTCGAAGGTGCATGCAAACAGGCCGGGAGGGGGTCCGAGGTGGAGTCAGGTGGACCGCCCACCTCAGGCAGGAATCCCCTGTGCGGGAAGGCTGGGAGGGGTCCAGCAGGCACCTGCTCGCCCGGGCTCCTCACCTGGGCTCCCGCGCAGCCAGGCACAGTCCTGCACCCGCATCTTCCAGGTCAGCTCCTGCAGCGAGAGCTTAGCGTGCTTCCCCAGGGAGACGAACTTCTTCACGTTCCTCAAGAAGCGGCGCCGGTTGTGCCCGGAGCCCCAGAGTCCAGCGGGCACGAGCCTGCACAGGCAGGCCCGCAGGAAAGCGTACACTTGCCAGGGGCTGCTGTGCTGCCGGAGAAGCTGGAGCAGGCCTCCGGGGGCTCCCGGGGGCCGCCCCAGGGCGCAGCCGCCCGCCCCCCGGCCGGCCCGGTCGCTAGACCCCTCCGCAGGGGCCGGGGCTCGAAGCGGGCAGTGCGTCCTGAGGAGCGCGTCGTAGGGGCACCGGGCGTGGTTGGCAAGCAGCTCTCGGAACAGGGGCCGCATCCGCCAGTAGCGAGCGGGCAGGCGGCGAGTCCTGCGGGCAGCCCCTGGCCGCGGAGACTTAGAGCCCAGAAAGATGGCCTCCAGGAGTGTCCGGGCCCCTGTCAGGCTAGGCTGCAGGGCACTGAGCAGGAAGGAGGGGCGCAGCCGCTCCTTGCCTCCCGGGCAGTAGAGGAAGTGCTTGGTCTCAGGGTGTGATAGGTGTGATAGGGGCACGCCCCGGGGCCGAGACAGCTGTGCGCTTGCTGCGGAGGTGAGCCGAGTCCCAGGGGGCCCTCCCTCCCCGGAGTTGGCCTCCGCCGCGGCCCTGGCAGATGTCACTGCGCCAGGTTCGCCGCCACTCAGCCCGTGGGCCCTGCCCGGGGGGGCCCGGGAAGACGGCCTGTCTGGCCCCCGCTCGGGCTCTGGGGTCACGTCGTGCCTGGGCCTCTTGGCTAGAGGCGGGCTGCTCCCGCCGCCACCCCGACGCCGCCTCGCGCCCGCGTTTCGGGCCTGGCGCGTGGGTCTGAGGTCCATCCGGGTCCCAGGCCGGTGGCCGGAGGTGGCGAGGGGCCGAGTGGCGGCAGGTGCACAGAGGTCGTAGAGCGGCGGCCCGCACACCTGATAGGCGCAACTCGGGGCCACCAGAAGGTAGAGCGCGCAGCGCGTCAGCAGGTGGGCGAGCACATCGTCGCCCACACGGCGCAGCAGCAGCCCCCAGGCGCCGCTGCCGCGCAGGGTCTCGGTTACCGTGTTGGGCAGGTAGCTGCGCACGCTGGTCGTGAAGGCCACTGGCGGCCCGCCGCGGGCCCCGTCCAGCAGGGCGAAGCCGAACGCCAGCACGTTCCTGGCGCCGCGTTCGCAGAGCCTCTGCACCACCCTGGCCACCAGCTCCTTGAGGCAGGACACCTGCGGGGTGGAGGGGTCCTGAGGTGCTGGGGACGGAGGCGCCCCGGGGCCTGAGCGCGCAGCCCTCCCTCTCCCACCCCGGCAGGCCCGAGCGGGGTCCCCAGGGCAGCCCACCTGGCGGAAGGACGGGCCGACGGGGGCCGGCCGCGCGTCCCAGGGCACGCACACCAGGCACTGGGCCACCAGCGCGCGAAAGGCCGCCGGGTCCCCGCGCCGCACGAGCCGCCGGCCTTGCGGCCCCAGGCGCCGCATGAAGGTAGCCAAGGGCAGCACCTCGCGGTAGCGGCCACGCAGCAGGGCGCGCACCGCTCTGCACCTGGGCGCGCGCGGCATGGTCGGGGAGGGGCGGGGTCCGCGGGAGGAAGGGGCGGGCCCGGAGGGGGGGGTGAGGGTGTCGGTGCGAAGAGGCGGGGCTTCGCGGAGGAAGGGGCGGGGCCTGGCCGGGGAGGCGCCTTTCGGGGTGTTCGCACCAAGGTGTGGCGAGTCCCCTGCTTCCCTTGACCGCAGCCTCCCCGCCCAGGGACCACGAGCCCTTCCAGGACGCTGCGGTCCCAGCGAGGGTCGCACAGTGGGCAGCGATGGAGTCAGGGGGATCACCTGGGGAGTACCCCGGGGGGAGCCCTAACGTGGGCCACCTGGTGCGCGCTCAGCGCCTCTTGAGAGGGGCCTGTGGTTTGTCACTGTCACGTAGGCCGTGGCCCAGGCACTGAGCTGGGGCTCCAGCCGGGGGTGGGAGTGGGGTGGAAGGAGCAGGGTTGCAAATGTGCGAAGATGCGCAAGGACCAAGGTCGTCAGCGCTGGTCCACGTGGGCCTGGGGGGTAGCTGAGGGCGGTGGGCAGTGAGCTGGTGGCGGCAGCACTTAGCTGCTGGCACGGCCGCCTCCTGACCTGAGCTGTGGGCTTTCTTTTTCAGGTTCTTAGGCTTCTGTTGCCCCACCGTAAACAAAAAACCTAAATCAATTCCCTCCTAAACCATGTCCAGACAGGAAGGGGAGAGATCGGAGGCCCACGATCCCCGCGGCATCATCTGCAGGCTCCTTTCAGACCCAGAGCCTCCGCCGGCAGGTCACGGACCTGCCTGCAGCCTGCAGCGCCCCTGGAAGAGCCAGAAGCCCCCCGTGCGGCCCAGCTAGAAACTCCCCACAACACTGACCGCCCCCCACCCAGACCAGGGGGCCAGTTTTGACAATGCTGGTCATGACACTTGAACAAGGCACTTCGGAGGAGACCCCCAGATGGGATTTCACCTGAACCCAGGTGCCACCGCGTGTCCAAGTTTGACTCCCTAAGAAGCAGACAAACCTCTGGGTCTCAGGAGGCTGACGGGGACGACGTGCCCGAGCTTGGCAAACACTGGATGGCCAAACAAATGTTAACCTTTAATAATGTAAGAAGCTGAGTCGGGAAATTGCTTTTATTCCTGGCTGTAGCATTTATACAGGCCTCCCCTCTGGGCCCCGAGGGGGCAGAGGGTTTGCATAGTTACTGGGCTCGCTGGGCAGTCTGCCCTTCTGCGGAATACTCGGATTACGTGCTGCTGTTCTAGAATTCTGCGGAGGGAGCACTGGAATCTCCAAGGTTGTTTGAGAACTGCTCATTTCGGCCACTGGAGGGTTGGCACTGCTGGGGGAAATTTGTTCTTTTCCAAAAACGAAGTTACTCTGGTTCATCTGGAGAGACTTCAGAAAACATATTTAAAAAGGAAAAAGGAGGCTGGGAGAAAGTGAGGCAGAAAACCACCGGCGTGATCAATACCGTGTTGACGGTGAGGAAACGCCCCCAGGCTTGAATGGAAATCACTCCTCTCCAGGACACTCCCCCTGGCCGTAGTGTGTGGTTAACCTCTCTTGAGAAGTGGGTGGTCTTAAGTCACTGCGCCTTAAACCTGAACAGTGTTCCAAGGAGAAAGTTGTGCTGTTGGCTTAAGATAAAGTACAACGGTCTCATGCGGGGCCTTCTGGGAGGCAGCCTGTGGGCGTCACGGCTCCCCCCTCCAGGTTTCTAAACAGAGTGGCGTCTGTGCCAGGAGCCCAGAATGCCGCCGTGCTGTCCGTTCGGTGCATGAGTTGCAGGGCCCCCCAGCCCATGCACGGGGGGCGCAGCACGTGCGAGAGAGGCTGACGTCAGGAGACGGCTGACAATGCGTGCAGGGAGCTGGGGGAGGAGCTGCAGGGTGTCCATAGGCCGTCTGTCCCCGGTCTACGAGGGATTCCAGAAAGTGACGAGGGTGGTCTGAGCAAAGGGAGGCCTGACCTGAGCCCTGGGGGGGAGGGGGGAGTCAGTCCGTGGTTCCCCAGCAGGCAGCAAGTTGCTCCGCACGCTCGTGGGCTGCCACGGGGCTGAGGGCCTGGGGGGCTGGCAGGTCCTCGGGCAGGCGACCGCCGGCTCTGGGGTGCGTAGTCGGGAGGAGGCTTGCAGGGGCTTACGGGGGGGGGGCTTCTGGGGGGCATGCTGGCCAGGCGCCCTCCCCCACCGGGTGCCCTCCCCCTTACCTCCCAGGCAAATACGCACCAACTCCCGGCAGGTGTCAGCCCGTTAGGCCACGGCCAACACGAACACAGCGCAAGGCGGCGTCTTCGTGGAGGCTGTCCGTGAAGGCAGCACAAGAGAGAAATGGGGTCCGAGAGACGGGCCGGTGCGATCCAAGCCCTGCTGGTCCCTGCTCCCGGGAAGGGCCTTCCGTGCCGCGCCCTCCAAGCTGCTGTGATGCCAGCCTCTGCCTCAGCCTGCGTGCCCCCGACTCTGACCCTCCTGGAGAAATGCCAGCTGTGAGTCCCTGGTGCCAGGCAAGGCCACATCCCCAGGGTCCGGAACAGGACGTGGCATCCTTGGCCCACTGTGGCCTTGACGCTCAGCGTGACAGAGAACACAGCCGTTAAAAGGCTGTGGCTCCGGGTGCTGGTCCTGGTGCCCCGACGGATGATCTCCCGGACCCAGCTGACCCTCGGCCAGAGCCAGCACGCCGAGCCTGGGGCGGCACGTGCACAGAGCCCGCTGTCCTCTCTCCGCCCCGTGGGCGTGACCAGCGCTGCTGTCACCATGCGGACCGGTGCCACCAGCTCCATGGGCACCGCGCTGCTTCCCCCCCCCGCCCTCTGGCACCCGAGCCCCAACCGCCGGCCGGCTCTGCAGCCAAACTGTCGTTTTGAGGATTAGATGTAAATGGAGACTGACTTTCTACTCAGCACCATTCTTGTGGGGGCAGCGCGGTCCTGTGCCGGGGACGCACGTTAACGTGACCGCGTGCCCCTGGAAGGACATCTGGGACCCTCTGCCTCAGAGCTGTTGTGGATAGAGCTGCTGTCCGTGTTCGCAGACGGGGTTTTGTGCCTGACCACGTAGCTCGTCGTCTTCCTGGATGAAGGTCCGGGAGGGCCGTGTCGGGTCCCACCGTCCACTGTGTCTGCAGGGCTGAGTGTTCCCAGCGGCACCGGCCCCCAGAGGGCTCCGCTGCTGTGGCTTCTCGCCAGCACTCGCTGCCCTCACCGTTTCTTCTGGGGGCCTCTCCGAGGTGGTGTGGACTGTCCGCAGGCCTCCAGGGAGGCACGGGGGCGCCTGGGCGTGGGCAGGGAACGCGGCTCAGGGAGCACGGGGGAGGAGTCACGGGAGGAGCACCGTCCAAACCACACGGGCTGAAGGGAGGGGCGCAGAGGGCAGGGTTGGGGACCTGGGGCTCGGGGGTGTTTTCCGGAAGCAAAGTGGGCGGTGTAGCGGGACCTCCGTGTGGCACCCCAGGGACCCAAAGCCGCCACATGTCCCCACTGGGAAGAGGGTTCTTTTGTCTGAGGCAAACCGCCCTTCGAGACTGTCACTGTCTTCCCACGAATCTAACACAGGCTCGCTGTGGGGGTTCTCACCCGAGCCGGCCGTGTGTGCGATGACGTCTCTGAATAAACAACGCGGGAACAGCACACTGAAGCCAATGGCAGATGGGTCACACGTCACACTAGTGTCCCAGGCAAGGGGGAGATGGAAGGAATGTGTCCGACTCACTTGGGGTGCACCTTTCTACGAGTGGGTTCTCAGAGGTGTCGACCGAGCCAGCCGGGGGTGGGCGCTGTGTCGGCGGGAAGGGGACCCCTTCTGGGCTGCTGCACGGCTTCACCGCGGTGGCAGCCGCCTGGCCGCGGCCGAGCTGTTTAGACCGGCGGAGCCCGGCCTTGCCAGATCTGGGAGCCCCCCTAAGTCCCCCCCCATCAGGGCCGCTCTTCCGTACGCCCCCATCTCTGCGTCCCCACCCACAGCTGCACCGTAGTGCTTCTCAGCAACAGGTGTCTGAGACAACACCCCCCATCAGCCTCCCCAGAGTAAAGAAATTCACCCTGACATCAAGACAGCTTAAGTCACAAACAAGTGGATTTGAAATCGTAACAAACCAACACGTAACGGGGACGGAGCAGAGGACACGGGCCGCGTGCCTGGCAGCGTGGAGCACCCACGTGGGCAGCAGCGGCCGCCCGGCCAGCCCTGCCGGTTTCCAGTCGCCCAGGTGGCGGGTGGCCCCCGGAACCTCGGTGTCTGTCCGTCTCCCAGCTTCTCTGGATCCAGGGAGCCCCTGGTTCCTGCTGCTACTCTTACCCCGACCTGGGGCTGAGAGCAGCCCCCGTTTTATTTTCCGTGCCCCGTTCTGCGGGACAGGTCCCTGTGAGCAGAGTAAAAAGGTGTCTGCTTGGCGCCCGCGTCGCCCAGGCCACGCCCCATGGGGTTGCTGCCCTTACTGGTGAGCAGGAGCCGCAGAGGGACAACGGGCCTTGTTGGCAGCTTTTCGCACATTCGCTGCTGTCTCTGAGCAGCCTGGGAAGCGGGTGCTCGAGCATCGTCCTTTCCTACAGGTTCAGGGGCAGCGGCTTCCCCAAATCCCCCATCACTCGGGGCGGAGCCAGACACAGACCCAGCTTCTCCAAGTGCAGGGCCCGTGTCCGCAGCGCGCGCGGCTGGGGCTGGTGCGGGGCAGCGAGCTGGGGCGGGGGCCTCGGGAAACGCGGCCCCTGGGGCCGGGAGGCCGGGTGGCAGCTCCCCGGGAGAAGGGCCGTGCTTCCCGTCCCCTTAGCGGGAGACGCCGCTCGCCCCCTCCCCTGGCTGCTCTGCGACGTTAATCCACGTTGACCTACTTCCACTGCTTTGTGTACTCCCTCTCCCGCCCTCAACCGCCCGAGGAAAACCAATAAAAAGCACTTAGGGCTAAAATCCCTCCGAGTGCAGGTATCTGGTTCTCGTATCTTGGCAAACAGCTCGGTTCCTGTTGTGTGCCCAGCTCTGGATTTCCGCACTCTTAAAACTTATTTGTCGAAATTTAAGAAAATGGTAAGATAAAATTACCCACTTGGAGGCTG